TTTTTCTTTTCTTTTTTTTTTTTTTGTTTTTCGAGACAGGGTTTCTCTGTGTAGCCCTGGCTGTCCTGGAACTCACTCTGTAGACCAAGCTGGCCTCGAACTCAGAAATCCGCCTGCCTCTGCCTCCCAAGTGCTGGGATTAAAGGCATGCGCCACCACTGCCCAGCCAGAGGAAGTAAGCCATTAGGCAGCACCCCTCCAAGGCCTCTGCATCAGCTCTTGTCATTTAGTTCCTCCCTGTGTTGAGTTCCTGTCCTGACTTCTTTCAGTGATAAACAGCAATGTGGAAGTGTAAGCAGAATAAACCTTTCCCTCCACAAGTTGTTTAGGTCATGGTGTTTTATCACAGTGACAGAAACCCTAAGACACATACCATGTGGGTATCTATTTGAACCTTACAGGACATTTGAAAGGACCAGGCACAGTGGCTTGCACTTGTAATACCAGGCACCGAAGAGGCAAGGTAGGATTGCTTGATCCCTCAAGTTGGAGGAGTCTTAGCAAAATGGCAAGACCTTATCTCAAAATAACAACCCCCTCCCCAAAAACAATGTTGGGTGCAGACCTTTAGATTTTATAGAATTCACTTTGTGAGGTTAAAGGTTCTTTGATCTTCTGGCAGGTCAGTTGGCAGCCATACCTGAAGAATTTCTGTTGCCACAGCAAGTGGCTGAACCAGTGACCTTTCCTAATGCCTGACTCATTCAGGTCGTCAGAGCTCCAGCTATGCCTTGTCTCAGGAGTGTGAGCAGCCCTTGGTCAGCTCCTCACAGGCATGTGGATATAAGATCATCATTGTGATTGGCCTTACAGTTCTTGTACTGGACGGCTGTCATGCTCACAGGATGCTAATGTGTTTCTGCTGTGCTCATCTGACCATTTTCTCACTTTTCATTTCTCATTTACTCAATTTCAAATACCAATAGCAAGTTCCTTTTAGATACAGAACCCAAACCAGCTTGAGGGGAACTGGGTCTCTTAGAGTGTCCCCAAAGGGATCCCTGGTGGTTAAATGGTGTATCTTGGTGTGGTTAGGTGTCATGTGCAGGGTGGAAGCATCTCTTCCACAGACTTAAGAAAGGCCAAGTTGACTCAGGCAGAAAAACTGCAAATGCTGTGGCCTGTGTGGTCTTGGCTTTGCCAGAGCAGGGCTGGGTGACCGTACTAGGAAGACTGCCTGTGATATCAGTTTCCTTTTATGAAGGGGGTGTCATGTACAGCAGAGAGGTGACATGATTTACAGGCTATCTAAGTCTAAATCTTGGTGGTTTGGCATGTTGGTATATACTGTAGCCCTAGCACTTGGAGGTCAGGGCTAAGAGATGGGGAGTTTGGAATCAGCCTGGCTGTACAAAGAGACCCTATGTCACAAACACCCAATAAGCCTTAAATAATAAAAGCTGGGACTGTCACTCAGTTAACAGTCTAGGGATGTGGCGTTGGGTTTCATTTCCAGAGTTCAAGGGGAACGGGATAAAGTTCTCAAAATGAAAAAATATGAAGTGATAAGGGGTGTCAGCAGACGTTCTTCGGGAGTGCAGTTCTGGCTTTTGCACTGGGCCTGCTAGACACCTCTGACCTTGCCAGGTGGCTCGCTTGGCCCACTTTGTTGGCTTGTCCAGGAAGGTGAGTCCCATCTTTGCCCTTGAAGTTCAGTCCATCTTTCAGGACAGTTCCCATCCTGTCTCCAGCTGTGGGTCTCAGTGAAAGGGAGCTACAAGTGGGATTTGCTCTGTGGGCCTATGCTTCCAAGCTTCATAAACTCATCAGTGAAACTTGGGAGAATGTGCACCCAGGTGATGGCTTTCCTCAGAGTGCTCCCTACCGCTGTTCCCACGTAACCTGCTGCAGCCTCAAACCTCCTGCACCTGCAACCCTCATTTTCTTTGTGTCTTAGCCACAGTAACTTCTGGGCTGTTGTTTAAACAAACCAGGGCTGCTCAATTGTCTCAGCTCAGCTCCGACTAGTTCACCTGGGACAGACATTTTTCCTCAGATGTTCACAGAGATGTCACCTCTGATACACAGATACAGAGTTCTAGTACATAGAAAGTGTTGTGCCACATTTGCTGACTGAATTAATGTATTGTGACATTCTAATGGTGTATTCTGTAACAACGGACTCCCACACTTGTTCACATCTTCAGGATGGTTGAGCACTGTACCTTCACTTGGAAAGCTCTCATAGATAGGCATGTTCCTTTGAAGGTTGTTGAGAAAAATGACTGGAACCATTTTGTTACCAAATGCAGCCCAACTGAAGGAGAAAGCATACAGGGCAAGTCTTCAGGAAAGGAGATGTTCACCACTAGCCCTGGAAAATGCTTCTAGGCATAGTTGCATGCCCTTGTGAGCCCAGTGTTGGGATGAGGCGGGAGAGGGTAGGGGAGAGGTGGAGGATTTGAGGCCAGACTAGGCTACACAGTAAGAGCCTGTCTCAAATACACTAATTGAATTTGGATTTTGTGGTGCATACCTTTAGTCCCAGCACTGGGGAGGCAGAGACAGGTGAATCTCAGGTCACACTTGTTTACAAAGGGAATTATAGGACAGGTGTCTTAGTTAAGATTTTACTGCTGTGAAGAGACACCATGACCAAGGCAAGTCTTATAAAGGTCAACATTTAATTGGGTCTGGCTTATACGTTCAGAGGTTCAGTCCAATATCATCAAGGTGGGAGCATGGCAGCGTCCAGGCAGGCATGGTGCAGGAGGAGCTGAGAGTTCTACATCCTCATCTGAAGGCTGCTAGTAGAATACTGACTTCCAGGCAGCTAGGATGAGGGTCTCAAAGCCCATGCCCACAGTGACACACCTACTCCAACAGGGCCACACCTAATAGTACCACTCCCTGGGCCAAGCACATATCACGTTCCATTCTCTAGCCCCCATAGGCTTGTTCAAACACAACCATACCTACCCATAGCACAATAAAAAAATACATTATTTAATCTAACTTCCAAAACCCCCATAGTCTATAGCAGACTCAACAATGTTTAGTCCAACTTCCAATGTCCCCATAGTTTATAGCAGTCACAAAGTTCAAGGACTCTTCTGAGATTTATCCAGTCACGTTAAGTAATCCCCAAAGCAAGACAGGAAACCAGCTGGGCAAACTCCAAGCTCTGCGTCTCCTCTGATGTCAATGTGGTCTTCAGATCTCCAACTCGTATTTCATCTTTGTTGATTACAACAAACTTCTTTCTCCTGGGCTGGTTCCACTCCCTGTTAGCAGCTTTCCTCAGCAGGTACTCCATGGCTCTGGCATCTTGAAAGTCTTGTGTCTCCAAGGTAATTTCAATGTTATAGTTTCTTGTTTCAATGTCTGGGATCCACACATGATCTTCTAGGTTCTTCCATCACTTCTCCAGCTCTGCCCTCTGTAGCACTCTAAGCTCAGGTTGACCTGCTGCTGCTGTTCTTGGTGGTCATCCCATGGTATTGGCATCTCCAATACACTGGGGTCTTCTACTACAACTAGGCTTCACCAATAGCCTCTCATAGGTTCTCTTCATGGTGCCAAGTCTCAACTCCTTTGCATGACCCCTTCAGTCCTGGGTCATCATCTACAACTGAGTCTGCACCTTCACCAAAGGCCTTCCATGGCCTTTCACAGTGCCAAGCCTCAGCTGCTCTTCATGACCCCTTCATGTCTTCAAAACCATATCATCTGGGTGACTCTTACACATTACCAAGTCCAGCTGCAGCATGAGGTACAACCTTGGCTATCTCTGGAACACAGCTTCTTTGTGCTCTCAGAAAACACTTCCCAGAAGTTTTCACCTCAGTGATGCTGATTTCTTCTTAATCACCACTAATTTCTTAGCTCCAGCTA